TGGGGGTAAGTTCAGTAATTTCATTCCATTTTTTTCTCCTCTAGATTTCCAAAAAGCTTGTTCATCTGTGGTTTTGTTGCAATTTGCATGGTTATTCCTCTGATATTTCTAGTTAATAAAAATGATCCTTTCCCTAACTGTACTTCATTTTGAAGTTATAGTTTACATGACTATCACTCAGCATTAAAGAAAAGTAAATTCAGATGTAGTTGATTCACTTTTGCACATAGAACGTCAAACTGCAGAAAAGCGGCTATTATTTTTATTTTAGTAAAATTTATAGTAAAACTATAAATAAAGCCCTATGATAAGAAAAGGCAGTTACTCAAACTGAATATTTTATATAAGCCCTTAAAAATAATACATTTTAAAAGTAATCTTATTCTAAGAAACATTCTTTTCTGAAACTATGAATGTTGTTTAAGGATGGTTAAATCCAGGTAAAAGCACCTGGAATAAAAAATGCAACTTAAGATTCCTAAAACTTGAAACACGAATTTAGGCTAAATGAACACTCTGTATCAACACTCTATCCTCGGGGTTCCCCAAATACAAGAAGCTCTGTAACTCAGCTTGCACCTCTCTTCAGAAGCTAATTTCTGTGGCTATAGTTTCTCTGGTTTTTAGTACCATTTGAGTTGCTGTTTCAGCACAAAGGAAGCCTCAAGGTCCTCTGGAGCCTCAAGGCATCAATTAAATATTCCACCAGCTTTGGAAAGCACATGAATATACAACAAAAAATTATAATTTCCTGAAAATGATATTGTCATAAAACAACATTAAACATGTATTAACGTGCATTAAAACGAGTTTAACTTCAGAACTCATCTGTCATACAAGTACCTGATAAAACACATTGATTTCAGCAATACAGAAATATTTTATATGTATGTGTATATTTTTGTGGCAAATTTGCTTTTCAAAAAGCTTCATTCCTTTACCCCTTTTGTTCCAGATCTTCCATGGATTTCTAAATTTTTTCAAAACAGTTCCAAAATCCACATTGTTAGATCAGAAACAAGGGAATGTGCATGCAAGGGAGGCAAGTCAAACACACATCTTTCCATCCCAGTTTGTAAAGTCTGACAGGTCTGGACATAAAGAACCCTTGGAAAGAAGCTGCCAAGAGGGAAAGTCCTTGAAATACTGCAGTCAAAGAGGATAATAAACATAGCATTTATTTTACATGGCTGAAATCCAACAGAGGAAACATGTAAAATAAATACAGATTATACTAAACACGCCTTCCTAAAATATGAATGGAATGCACAAGAAACGTGGCATAAAGCTCACATAAAAAATACCAAAGATGAATTAATTAAGACAAGTAATCTAATTGCTTTTCAGGTAACACGTAAATCTATGCCAAGAATCTGGAATAAGGAAGGTAAAAAAATACAAGAACAACCTTTTTGCTACTTTGATTTTATAATTTTGGTCTCTTTATTAGATCCACTTCACAGTTCAAAATATTTTTCTGTAAAGATTTGACCTGGTCTGCTACAATTAATCTATCTATCAATATCTACCTAACCTTACTCTGAATTAAGTTTGAGTTAAGTCATTATTCTACAGAGAGTTCATTTGCAGTACTATGCCTTCCTAAAATTTGTCTTATAGTGGAACCACAGTGTCATAGAACAGTTTGTGTTGGAAGGGAAGTTAAAGATCATCTCTCTCTAAGTGCCTGCAATGTCACTAGGCCAGGTTCCTCAGAGCTCCATCCAACCTGGCCTTGGTTGTCTGTCCTCCCAGGACAACAGACAGGCTTTAGACAAAACATAGGTTTTTTCCTAACCTATGGAATGATAATGCTTCTATGGTGAAGTGGTAGGAAGTTCATACAAATCTTCTGATAATAAACATTTTAAGAAATTTTTCTATCTTTGCAAAATTTACCATTTCCTCTGTATCTTCCTATAAATTTTGAGAAACAGTATAATGTCAATGGTTTTCTGTCTCAGCACTTACAGCTTTTTTATTATATTCCATAGTGCACATTTGTATGTAATATGCACCTGTAAACGCACATTTTATTTTTATCAGATTTTACATTACTTTTGAGCTACTTTCTTCACCATATGTACATGCTTTTGTGGTTTATAACAGCTGATTCTTGCAGCAATCCTAAAATCACAGGAGTTTTCTCTGCACAAATAAATCATTCCGGTTTTGCATTCATTTTTCAGTAATGTCTTGAGCAAAGATTTGAGGTGGGGTGTGGTGGAGAAGATGTTTCAGCCCAAAGTTATTTCTTACTGGCACATATAAAGCTTTTGAAATTCTGACAAGCTTAACTGAGTCTATTCTATTCTGTACTAGGTGGGGAAGCACATCCCTCCAAAAAATAGTGATGTCCAACTATCTGCCAAGACCTGGATACTGAGAGTAATTTCTAGCTTAAATAATACTAGACGTTTTTTTCTGAAACCAATTGCTACTCTGCAGTCTGGTCTTAATTGGGAAAGTAAATTTAATTATTTCTCTGCTGATGTGGAATTGAGACTACTCACATATCCTGCAATACGAAAGCAGAATATTAACTCTGGAAGTTGCCTCTCAAAGCTTCATGTCTTGCCAGCTATACATCCTAGCTTACTATGACCAACACCAGATAAGACAGACTGCCTATAATACATATAGTGGGTTTTACTCAAGTGATTTACAGCAAGGTTTATGGGAAATGATTTTCTACCATAATCAACCTAGAAAGAGTCTTCTGATGAACAAGTGAGCTTCAACTCAGCAGTATTCTCTCCAGATATCTCACCTACTTCACAAAGGGACTATGAGGTTTGTACAGCAAACATAGAGGTGCTTAAACTTCTGTTCCACAGGATGTGACAGCTTTAATATTTTAATATTGTTAAATGAAATTATTATTGGAAATATATTTCATAAAATGCAGCTAAATTGCATAATTTCGAGCCTGAAATGTCCATCCAAATAAAAACATCTTATATAATGCCGAAATGCTAGTTTCTTTAGCAGAACTCGTCCGTAATCACTATCAACTCTAAAAGGAATCAATCATACAATTATCTGAACAGCTAGTGCAGATATCCTATTGGAAATTTTTAACTAAAAAAGAAAAGTCGCTGAGAAATACACAAGAAAGCCAGTTGACAATTAGTTCTGTACTTACAGCAAAAAAGCTTTTGGGTGTATCTTGCCGCACTATACATTTAAATAATCACTATTTTCAGAAGAAATGTTTTTATCTCTCTTTCCTTTCCCCCCACCAACATACTTTCTTACAGATCACCACAGATTCATTCTTATCCAGTGAAATTGCTATGTAACCACTCAATGCAATATTATTTTACTGAAGGATATGGAAATCCAAAACCTAAAAATACTTTAAACAGTTATTATTATTAATTATTTCATCGCCTTACACAGAAGTAATAATAACCTGCAATTACTGGTTTATCAAACACAGATAGATTTCCTAGAAACACAAGGAAATTTGTTCTTCATTACTTTAATGAAACAACCATAGAAAAAGGTAGAAAAAAGAAAGGTCAGGGAAATTCTCTGACAAAAGATGAATTTTTTGGGAGATAAGGTGGTCACTGAAGAAATGTTTAGGAAAAGTGACACACTCAAAGATTAAAAAGAAACATTAATGCAATAACGTCATGCCAAGTGTGTCGGTAATGTAAATGTACATTAAGGCCTTTATGTTTAATGAAGGACAGGAGAGGCTTTAATTCTTAAAACTTGAAGATTATAAAGAAACTTTGAATCTTAAGAAAAAATTCTGTAAAGTTTTTCAAGATTTTCAGCAGATGGAGAAGCATGCAACTATGAGACAAATTTTGAAGGGGAAGTGTTTGATAATATTCTTTGCCATCATTTCACATCATTTGAAGAAGCTCTCCATGAAAGTCCAGTCATAAATGCTCCATTCAGCTGTTTTGAAAATTTAAATTCTTGTCTTTACAATGATATAATTTGAATATATTTAAATAACAAATTAAAATTAAAAAAAAAAAAGAAATCTGAAACTTCCATTATATTCAAGAATCCACACAGGGTGTTGGGATATCTATCCACTGACCTCTTGATCTATCATTTGGAATTTTTCACTAGATCTCTAGTGGGCAAGATCTCATTACAACACTCCTCAGACACAAACATCCATGCATGGATAAAGTGACACTGGCCACATAGGAACTGAGTAACTCCTCTTTGCCTCTTTGTACCTGCCCAGTACATCTCAAAAACAGGGACTTCATTTACCTGTCTTTAAACTCCAATAATTTTGACATTTAGAACCAGCAAGCAATGCTTTAACTCCAAGAGAATCAAACCTATATTGGGTAATACAATCAAAACTAACTGATCTCTTTTTACATGCATTAAAAGGCTGTGTTAATATCACACTTGGGGCTATTATAAATGTCTTACATTGCACACATTTTAGAATACATCAAAGTTTTATCACAGTCATTATAAAAATGTCGCTTGAAACTATTTTTACACTAATAAGATGGTCTTCAATTGAATAAATTGCAGTTACAGACTGATTACAAGTATTACATTTAGTTCACAGGTTAGCACAGTGATGGATAACATGCAGGGGAAAAAATTAATGCATGATTCTACTTTACACTTTGTCCCTAACCAGGTTGATTTAAGTCATAAGAAAAAGTTGAAATGTTAAATCTAGTTGGAAGATAATACAAGATATAAGGTAATACACATTCCACTTGCTTCTGAAGTGCACAACCAATAACATACTATTATTTATGCAGATAGAATAACACATTCTCTTAGCCCACACTGCAACATATTTTGTCTCGAATTAGCTTGTAAATCACTACCACAGAAGCTATTAACAATCATAAAGCCTTTTGAGTTTTACAAGGTGTTCATAATGGGCCATCCCATATGATTTATATGACAAACATGACTCAGTTCTTCAGAGGAAACTAATCTGTAGATGTGGGGCTTGCCGTGTGACCTCTTGTTATCTTTGGGATGGTATGTAAAACTTTTATCTTTCTTAATATTAGTCAGACAAATACAGCGATAAAACACAATACTCACAGAGTTTCTATTAAAAATGTGTTTGCTTTTGATAAGACTTACACAGAAATGCTATATTTCAGTGGAATTGCTAGATAGGATTAAATTCACCCAAAAGCACTCCAAAACAGGCACAAGCAGTTATAATCACCCGGGGACACAGTTCTTCAAGAGACAGAATTTGTTAACTAAAGTAGTATTTATTGAATTACAACAAACAAAAGTCCCTGGCTTTCATAAATGTGTGTTAATGGATGTGTTTTAATTGTTAAAGTGTTCAGGAAGCATAAGGTTTAACTGGATTGTGCTAAGAAGGTTTAGTGAGCGTTTTCCTTCTCTGCAGCTGCTCAGTAATGGAAACATTGGCATTATTTTCAATTTTTGCAACTTCTCTGATGCCATAAGAGAAATAAATCCAAACTGGTTCATACTTCTAGGTTCCTCTAATTCAGTTAACACTTCTTTTCTATGTTTTTCTTGGTTTTTTACAACTTTTTCTCTATTATTGCTGCTCAAAGCATCTTAGAGACATGCTGTTTTAAAGAATAAAGGATGGTGAGCTTACTATTCAGATTTTCCCAGTCACCTTCTCTCCACGCTTACAGCCTGTTTTCACTTCTCAAGGGCAAGTGCTGCAGTTCTACTCATTAGCAACCAAGTGCAGATCTAAGGTGACAAAAACCCAGCAGATGCCCTCTTTACAAACCAAATTACTGTATTTTAGTCACTCAAAAAGGGAGAGAATTAGAGAAATAAAAATTACTTTTTTCATCTGGAAGAACTTGGAGTTATGATTGTACTGAACCAACTTTAAAGGTGTTCAGAAAAATGAAATTAAGCAAAATAAACTTAAAGTTGTAATCCTACACTTGCCACTTTGAGTCTTACTTTCTGTAATGACCTTAATTAGAGGAACAAATATTAATGAAAAACAGAAAAAAGCACAGTTACAGAAGACAACTAAAAGAGGAGTCGATTATAGAACTTGTAGTTAATGGCGCTAGAATTTTCTGCAGAAGGTTCATTTTTTGTTAAAAAAAGTCAAATTTATGACATTTAAACAGTCTACAGCATTTATATTTATAGGGCAGCAACAAGCATATTAAAAAGGGAAAAAAGTTATTCCTGAAAATACAAGCCCTTCTAATACTGCCTCCATTTTTTCTAGAGAGGGTGGCAAAGGGGAAGGCACAGCAGAAGGCAAACTAATCTAAACTGCTGTGACTGCGAAGAAAATATTCCAGTGTTACTGCATTTTCTTGCATCATAAAAGTACTTTAATCACGTTGTTCTGACATCGTCTTGAAGATTATTCCAAATCCTGCCATTTATGAAAGTCAATCTGCCCTATATAGGAAGCAGGGATGAGGAGAGAAATAGAGATAGAAAGGGAGATTTGAATACCTTTGTTCGAAAAAAACAGAGGTTCTTTGGAACCCCAATTTGTGTGTTGGGAGTGGCCGGGCTGTGAGCTGAGGAACTGCATTCATCACTTCCTACTTCAGAGGCAGTAATTAGAAGGAATGAAGACTCTCCTTGATACAACTGTCTCTCAAAGTCTCTTTCTCTGAGTGCTATAGAAGGAATTTGAGACTAACATCTTCTAGATGTTAGTCTGGAGCAGGGGTGGGAGGGTGGAAAGAGAACAAAGGAATAGCAAGAAAAATTTTCTTGGTTGTATAAATCTCAACTCTTGGGTACATATAAAATATAACAATATGATGGTTTCAGGAGCTACAAAACTCTCATATTACTGCCAAGAGAATTCTGAAAACATACCAGAGATTCAGGGATAATAAATATATATAAATTAAAGGAAATGGTTGTTTCAGAGGTATGTGGTCAGATGGTTACTATAAATAGACATCCACACATGCAGTGACTGGTGTCTCTTATGTGGCACATGTGACTAAACTTAAAATATACTTACCCTTTATATAGGTCTGCAAAAATAACCATAAAGTTATGCTTCTGCCTGGGAGATTTGTTTCCAGAGGTCTGTACTATCCAAAAATATTTTTTTTTCCCCTAGAAGTTAACAGTAATACCAGAAACCTTCAGCCTGTGTTGGACCACTAGCAGACCAACAGTCCCTAATATTCTCTACCTTGATGTTTCACCTCACTCCTACAGGAGCAAGTTGCCTGGGGCAGTATTGGTACATTTATGGATATCCGGATGACTCACAGGATGTTTCTGCATGAACACCATAAAATATTTGAGAAGGAAAAAGAAAAAAAAGATAAAACAATGAGCATCAGCTGCCATACCATCTCAGACCAGCACTGCTCCATTGGGTATGAAGTAAGAAAGCAGGGCTGGGTGCTGACCTCATCAAGGGCCTTGCACACACTGGAAACAGCTTCAACATTAACAAGCATGTTAATCTGCCTGAAATCAAATAGGCAATTACTATGCTACTTCCATGATTTGGAGGCAAGTATCATTTAATAGTTAGACATTAATAAACCTATTTCATGGATCTTACCATTATCTGATAAAGAAGCTTTCTTTTACTATCTCTTTAATGTTATTAAATAAAGTAAACTCATATCTGGTTAAATAGGCTTCAGAAGTGCTAATCTTAGCCTAAAGCAGTCTAATGGATTGACTCTTCCTCAGTAGGGCTATATAAATATTTATAAAGACTTCACACGAAGAACAGAATTGACATACGGCTTTAAAAGACTTCTCAACATATAGAGAACCCAGAGAAAGAAAAGATTTTGTAAAGACAAGGAAGTTCTTAGCCTTCAAAAAAACCTTCTCAAGTCCTGGAGGGCTGGAAATAGCACACAAACATATGTTTGAATCTGCACACAAGATCTACATCAGGGCCAGGCTACCAATCCTCTAATAGTGGTATCTTATGCTCTCAGGCTGCCTTATGAGTACAAGATTTTCTTTTTACCTGGCCCATCTGATTTTCTTGACGGATAGGTTTTATTATGGCCCTAACACAGCAAAAAGTGATTATGTTATTTTTCTGACTTTTTTCTGAATGGAGAACCAGCACTGAAAGCCAAACACACAGTCCATAGTCCCTTTTGAAAAAATAAGCCTTTTCCAGTACAAACTACAT